CAAGCGCATAATCAAGCCGTCTCGTGGCATCATAAACAGGCTCTCGGCCTCATATAAATCTCAAGCCACCTCGTGGCGTACAATCTCAGGCCCTCGGCCTCATAATCAAAATTAGTGTATCACCGCTGCTGCGTGCAGCCCGACCCAAAAGATATCCTCACAACACAGGCCCTCGGCCTTACTCAGTCGAAATCACATAAGCCACTCGGGCATCAGTAAAACAGTGTTTCTCAGCCAAAACATCATTTAAATATCATTTGAGTATTAAAACTGAGTGAACATGGCTGAGTTTTGAAAATAGTGGAAAATAACATGACTGAGTTCAAGTATAAAGTCAAAACAGTGAAAAAATATCAACAAAAATCCCCGAAGGGTTCAAATAATTGGCACGAAGCCCAAATATCGCATTCAGCCCAAATAATAATGATAACAAATAGATTTCAGTCAAATACGCGGTACAATCATCAATCGGGACGGACCAAGTCACAATCCCCAATAGTGTACGACCCCGCGCTCGTCATCAAGCATGTGCCTCACCTCAATATAGCACTACGATGTGAAATCCGGGGTTTCAAACCCTCAGAACAGTATTTACAATCATTACTTACCTCGAACTAGCCCGAAAAGCTACTCTGCAACACGCTTGCCTCTCGACCCAACTTCCGAGTGCTCCAAATCTACCAAGTTCAGATTTTTATCATCAAATTATGCTAAACGGATGAATTCCAATTGAAAAATATCGATTTTAAGCACAAAACCCTAAATCAGCAGTCGATCCAACAAGAAAGTGCCGCAATACTACCGAAGTACCCTCGACTTAATCACATTGCCTTTTTCTGAAACATATACCCTCGTCAAATCACCCCAATTAGCAATACCATTTCCTTAATCATCTGAAGATCATTTCCCTAATCATATGAAGCTCATTTCTCTATTTATCTGAAGCTGCCCGCTGCCTAAGAGTTTTATGACCTTCCTTTCAGGACTGAACCGTAACCTTGCAGACGCAAATCTCAATCCTCCACAACATACCGCATATACCATACCATCCTAGGATAACATGAGAACTTCATCTCCCTTCCGAGCCACAAACATCTACGTAATCAACTAGTCAAGAACTTCCCATTGATCCCACCTAAAATAAAATCATTACACATCCCATGCTCTTCACGCCAACAGAAAATATACCTCTCTAACCGTGGTAGAAACCGTCAAGAACTCTCCTGATTCCTTTTGCACAAAACTAAACCGTCGGGTCTGAATCCTTCTAACTCAAGCAAACTACGCAGGCCACTATCACCCAAGAGCATTGCCGTGAAACACTTGTAGAAACTCATTACCTAATAAGCACCCAAAGAACTAATCATATCCTTACCATACCGATTCGGCCTACTACCAAGCTATCCCATCTATCCGAGTTTCCTTCTAATTTACCTTCGACTTAATACTCCCTCTTGCTGTAGCACCACAATTCCTCAACCCAGACTTACCACACGAGACCCAAGCATAAAACCACACCGTCTAAGGCTCACAAGCCGCTGAGTACTCTCTTAAATGTTTCCAAAAGCACCACGTTCAAAGTACCTACCCCGAAGAGACTTCTTGCGAATCTAGAACCATTACCTTCCTAATACCGATATAAGAATCCCCTAATTGATATAGAAATGACACAAGTCTTGATACCCTCCAATGCAAACCTCAGTTTCTAGCCAAATTATACACCTGAAAATCTCCAATTATTACATGTAAAACCTTAAACGCATAAGAACCATTCTCTAGAGTCATCCACTCTACTCAAGCTTTAATTAGCCCGATCAAATGAACCGAACAACCCGTGCCTCATTAGCACTCCGACACCGCACAATATAACCTCATCCCAGTGCAACCAAGCAACTTCCTGCTCTATACACCGAGCATTCCTTACCAACAACAACTCAATAGCAGACTCCCCCACTTGGTTCGAAGCCATAGATCGAAAACACACACAATAACTCATAATGCATATACTCTATTGCTGTCATAATACCATAGTGAGATTAAACTCAACCCTTCATCAGCTCGTGGAACACAGACCATCTAGTACTTTAAATATTCTGCAAATCTCGCATTCCCTCTCGCAACAGCTAAACCGACTCTCTTAAGCGACCCCAAATTTAAATCTCAACACACATATTTCACTTGAAAATGTGATCTTCTAACAGACAACGTAAGGATCACACAACTTCAGAACACTCCGCATGAGATAACCCACATGTTTTGCCTCAAACTAACATTTCTATATACCTTCCACCGTCATAAACATTACGCAGTCGCTTGATCTTCCTGAGTCTGAACTCATACAGCAACATGAAATTTACTTCACTCCCAACTAGGAAACATGAAAAGGTTCTTCACACACCCATAACTCGGGGCTATACCTTGAATCAAGATGGAAATCAAGCACCTAATAGTTCTTCTATCCTCCAACAGACCCTTCTCGTCGCTTCTAAATCATATGAATACATTTCGCGGTCACATCACACTCATCACGTAACTATCCAGCCATCACTTCTACTAATAGGGGCACTACAAGCCGACACAAACCCCATGTTTAGGGTCGTGACAATTTGTGAGGGGACAATGTAATATACTTTGGTATATAATGTATATAAATAACTTTGTTCTCATAAGTTGAGGCACTCAATAAATTATTTTGCTAAACTAACTGTGATGTAAACCAACTTATCAAGATGAACTATCTTAAAATTTGAAATATGCTCTAAATTAAATTATTGAGCAAGTTATCTGACAAATACCATGTTGCGGGTTAATAATAATCGCACATGTAACCATTTCATAGATGCATCTTATGTGGCATATATGGCAGGTGAATGTGCCCATATTCACTTTTGATATTTCCAGCATTCATGGGATTCAGTCCCAATTTTAGTTGGTCTATTATTTAATGAGAACAAACAACATAAGAGAATTTGTACAGAACTTTCTAGTTCTTTAATATTTACCCATGTGAATTCTCTTTTATTTTTGCACATCATACTTAAATTAACATGGCTAAACCAATTATGTCAACTGAATAAATTATCAATATTGATAAACTTCAGGTTTATACCATGACGCGTGTAATTATCACAAACTCCAAGTTTATTATGATATGGATTTTTTATATCAATAAACTTCTACTTTATTGTGACATTCTTTTATTTGTGTAGTACAAACTGGAGAATAAAGTGAGTAGCTTTTTGCATACATATTACTCCCTACAGTTGTCGTAATATGAAGATATTAAATTTCCTTATAGTCTCAATATAACCAACCGTTTTCGCGAACACTTTAGAAACTCAATAAGTTTATTTGAGATTTACTACAACACAATGACTTGTTGGTAATCAATTTTATTCCTCCAAAATAGTAATAATTGGCTCTTTCAGAGCTCTCGATTAATTTTGTATTACCACTTATTCATCAACATCCATATGGTGAACATCGCTTTTAAAGAGAAAGCTATATCATTATGCTCATGGTCAAAATTATATGCAAGATATATTTCTTGCATTACTGTTGTCCTTTAATAACCACATTGCTACAATATTTTGGCGTACAATAGGTACTTAACCAATGACCATTCATGCCATAATAATGACATTATTTTCTTATTTCATCTCAAACCTCCTTCTAGAGTTGAGTGCGGTATATTCACTAGCACGTTCATATTCTTTCAAGAATAAATAAGTATTCATAAATCACATGTTGTCACATTCATATTATGAATGGACCATAATCATCTATATATGCTTTACAAAATCTCATGTCAAATGGATAACAAACATTACTTTCACATAGTGAAGGCTTATTTTGAGAATCCTTACTATTCTCATTACCTATTGCCACGTCTACATCCATTGGTACCTTCACGGTAATAATAATGAAGCAAATTCAATGGAACGAGTTTCCACTTCTTGTGCTCATAATCATACATGAAATTAATCATGACAAGACATAGAAATTTTACCAGTTCGGGTGGTTATAATTTCTCACAAACTCTATTAGAGTTATAATTTTAAAAAAAAAATTGTCTTTGCTTGTATTTAAAATCAAATTATAGAATGTCAAGAATTTAAAAGAGAAAAATAATGTAAAATACTTACCTTAAATCCAGAATTTACTTCTGAGAGAAGTTCATGGATAATTGATAATCATTATGCTCAATATTATGCATAAGTTGAGCACCATGCACTTATCCCAAAGCCTCTACTCAATTGGTTAGAATCTCGTGCTAATAACGTGTTATAAAACAATAAAAAAAAAGAGTATTACAGAGAAAAGTAAAGAGAGAAAATTCTTATTCATTTGGGATGAATTACAATGGAATAGAAACCCCTTTATTTTTAAGAAAAAGTGACTTAATCACCAAGTATCAAACCCTAAAATCTCTCTAAAATATAGACATTCACCTTAAATACAATTCTATGTATAACAGGACTAATATACTTATGTCGACGTATAAAACATTTTTACTACTATTGCATCTAAACTTGTTGCAGCAGGTTCTTAACCCTGTTTTCTAGGTTAGTAATCTCCCTTATTTTGGATGATTACTTGTACATACCTTTTAGGTAATCCGCTACTCCCTTTGGTCCAGTTTATTTAATTTTTTGGTTGTTTTCACACATTCACTTTTTAACATTAATTAACAATAAAATTGACCATATTAATCTTAATTTGTTCATTAGAAATATAATAAATACTCCTATGCTCTTTACTCTAAGGGCAACTTTGGAAAAAGGAAGTTAATTCCTTCTTGATATTTGAAAAAAATCAAATACTATAGACCAAAAAAAGGCCAAAAAATTAATTAAAGTGAACCGGAAGGAGTAATATAAACTCTTTCATACTGTCAGTATTTAAAATTTAAACTCATTCACAATTGCTTCAGAGCGGGCTTCTATGTAAAAGAGCATGTAGTCTATGGAGGTATCTACAATGTCATGCAATTCCAAGACAAAACAACCCGAGAACAAGTCAAAGTCATGCAAACCTACTCATCCAAGTTCGACGAAATTCATTGGCCAAATACAATTGACTTTTTAGTTCCAAGGCATTGCTTTCAACGACATTATGTTTCAAGAGGACAATATGCAGATAAATAGACCTTGGCTTCATTACAGAAAACCAAAAAAAAACAAGCCTGAAAAATTCTTGAACATCTTGTTACCAGAAAAAGTAAGAAAATCAATTATCTTTTACCATTTCCAGCAACATGATTTCAAGTGTTCTTTCTGATATTAACATGCCATCAGCCAGAACGATCATTTCTTCCACAGCTTCCATAGCTGCTACAGCCATGGTGGTTCGGTCCGTAGCCCGAGACCTAATCCCTTATGAACTCCAACATTATGTTTACTTGAGCATCCGTGGCTTCTTCAAATCATTTTCTTCTGAAATGGTTTTGATCATTGAAGAATTTGATGGACTAGCCAGCAACCAAATCTACAAGGCTGCTGAAATCTATTTGGGCACCAAGGTTTCCATTTCTTCTGGTAGCTTCAGAGTGAGCATGCCAGAGAAAGAGACTAAGATATCCACCTTAGTAGCCAAAGACCAAGTGGTATTGGATAAGTTTAGTGGTATTCAGTTCAAATGGAGGCAAGTCACTAGGCAGGTTGAATCCAAGAGGACCAATTACCCTGGTCAATCTTCTACTCAGTCCGAACTTCGGTACTTTGAGCTATGCTTTCACAAGAAATACAAGAATATGGTATTTGAATCCTATTTCCCTTTCGTCCTCAACGAGTCAAACAAGGTTAAAGAAGAGAGGAAGACCCTCCAAATTTATACTATGAATAATGAACACATGAGGAGATACTCATACAATTCAGGAGATTATACATGGAACTCCATCAAGCTAGATCATCCTGCAACTTTTGACACATTGGCCATGGACAGAGAGCTCAAGGAAATGATCGTGTGCGATTTGGACAGGTTTGTTAAAAGAAGGGATTTCTACAAGAAAGTTGGCAAGGCATGGAAACGTGGGTACTTGTTATATGGTCCTCCGGGGACGGGGAAATCAAGTTTGATAGCAGCCATGGCTAATTACCTTAACTTTGATATATATGATCTCGAGCTAACTGATATACGTGCAAACTCAGACCTTAGGAGAGTCCTACTTTCCACAGGGAACAGATCAATTCTAGTTGTGGAAGACATTGACTGCAGCCTCGATATTGAAGATCGCAAAGCAGAAGAACAGACTTTGAAGGCACTCAAACCTCATATAACGCAAGCTCAAACTATAAATATAGTTAGGAAGCCAAAACCTCAGGAGGTAAGTCTCACTTTTCTTGCATCCTATACCATCCCACGTTTAGATAAAAAACTATTAACATTTTTCAAAAAGCATATATTGCTAGTACACCAAAGTTAAATTCTTAATGATTTTGTTTCTTTATTGAATATTGTTAGGTTACGTTATCAGGGTTGCTAAACTTCATAGATGGGTTGTGGTCAAGCTGTGGAGACGAGAGGATAATAGTGTTTACGACGAATCACAAAGACAGGTTGGATCCTGCCCTGTTGAGGCCAGGCAGAATGGATGTGCACATCCACATGTCCTATTGCACTCCTTGTGCTTTCAAGACATTGGCTTGGAATTATCTTGGAATTGAGGACCATCCTCTTTTCCCTGAAATCCTTGATCTTTTAGACGAGGCAATGGTGACCCCTGCTGAAGTGGGAGAGCAATTGCTGAGGAATGAAGGGGTCGAGACTGCTATGAGCAGTCTCCTTGATTTCATCCGCACGAAAAAGAAAGAAGCTGATGAAATCAAAGGTCTGGAAAATGAAGAAAAAGAAAATGAAGCTGATGAAATCAAGGCAAAAGGTCTGGAAAATGAAGAAACCGAGGGAAAAATTAGTTGTTGAGATTTCTCAAGGAGTAATTTATGATTTAAGAATTTTATAGTTCATGGACATTCTTTCAGTTTAACTTTGATAGTTGTAGTGCATTTTGTTGAGAAAAGCATCATCTACTATAGTGAAAAAGAATGTTCTTCAAAAATAGAGAGCTGATGTTGGGTATATCAATGTACACTTAACTTGATTAATAAACCATTAGAGCACCTTTAATTGACAAGTAATAACTAAACAAACAGATGGTCTTTTCAGGAACTTTAATCTAATCCACTGACAAGTGTCACACCTATAAGCAGGAGGATGTAAACGGACTAACGGGGTTAAACATCTCTAATGATCAAACTAAGACATCAAGAATTCACCCAGAGACATAGTTGCAAAGCAACCCGCCACAATATTTAAAAGTTGATTAGGCTGAAATTTCATTTCCATTCCCAATTTCCACAGTTATCCAAGTAGTGAATGCTAATGAGAACTAAATGGATTTTTCGCACTTCGCAGATGGATTATGACATCACAAATATAATAGCTAGTGCTAGAAAATATATGATGTCAGGTACCAGAAGCTACATGCAATTCTCGTTCAAGCTTGTATGTTCTTAACAGTGATGGCTGCAAATAATCACATTAGAACAATATAGTTGGGAAGACATGGCAAGCAAAACGAACTACATCCACACAATAGCTCCTACGTTTTGTTCAGCTCAAGAGAAAAAGCATCATCGAAGAAGTGATAGCCTCATTTCAATAACCAAAAAGCTAAAAGACAAGGAAGAAATGGCATTCTAGATCACCTTAGAAACTGTGACTCTGGAACTAAAGCATTTGGAATCCTACTTCAATAGAGGTGTACAGTACGTATAGATTCTAAATATGAGAATAGCTCCTCGACACCAAAGTTGCTCTACCTGCAAAATTGTACAAGCAATGTCAATATGGATTCTCCATTGAGATAGTTCAGATTAACGGTAGAGGCAAATACTTATAAGACAAGGAAGAAACTACAAGTAATTTAAATAATGACTGAAAACATAGATAAGAAAGGGTAGATTCTAGAAAGCCCCCCCCCCCCCCCCCAAACAAGTTAAACAGCGACACATGAGAGCCCTAAAGCAGCCACATGGACTGGATAGTAAAATATTTTCAAGAACCAACAGCTATCCGAGTTCAGCAACTTATCAAAAAGGAAACTTCAGTTATTGCATTATACAAAATGAAAGCTTTGAAAAGCATTATTCCAGCCTAATCATAAAAGAGATCTTATGCCCTCAGAAAATTATTAACTAAGTCCGGTTTCTGCATCATAGCTAGACGTGTAAAGGAGCTATGTTGAGCTGACTAGAATTCCCGCTGGGTGCAACTTGGCTTATCCCATCCTGGTGCAAGATCAACCGAACTTCAAATTGCACGGGAAAAGCTCAACTTGAGAAGAAAATCCAAAAGCACAAGCTTAACTCAGCAAGAAAAATTCAAGATTGGGCGGAAATGCTCAAGAATTTGAACGAGTAACATAGAAACAAAATGCAAAACGAAAATCTGAAAATTCTGCCATTTGAAATTTAAGCACAACAATCTTCAAGAGACCCATATTCAATCAGATCGATCTAGTCAACCATTAGCAGATAAAGTGATATATAACCAAGAAGTTCATCAATATTTCTATGTCAACACGATAAAGAAAACCGCGTTAACAAAGATGGCTTTTACTTGTTAAGTTAGCCAACATATGAGCCCTTCACCATGAAGGATCAAGTGAAGCCCGTCAAGATTTTATAAACTCATTCTCCCCAGCCCAAGTTTACAAGAACTGATGGTGTGTCTGTCAGAGGTAGTCCTAAAATGCACTGGAAAGTTTTTGTTCTTGTAAGGGCATGAGACTCGTAGAATCCATGGGCCCGAAAAAGCAGAGTGGGTGGAGAGAGAGAGAGAGTAGATGATGATTAAGGAAAAAGAGTTGTAAAGTGCAGAGACAATAGAGAAATCTCTCTTGTGTTGTATTCAAGAAGTAACAAGTATATATACAAGTACATAGAGCCCTAACTATGGAAAGAATCAAAAAGGAAATCCTATAAATCTGTTGTGAATCCCTATAATTATGTGAGCTATGCATATTACATAAGATTATACATTCAGATTATGTCTACATTCATTATCTAACACTCCCCCTCAAGCTGGAGCATAGATATTGATCATGCCCAGCTTGTTGTAAAGGTAATCAACTCGAATTCCATTCAACGCCTTTGTGAACAAATCAGCTTGTTGCTCTCCTGTCTTCACGTAGCCAGTGAAGATCAAGTTCTCCTGAATCTTCTCACGAATAAAATGACAGTCAACCTCAATATGCTTAGTTCTTTCATGATACACCGAATTTGACGCAATATGGAGGGCAGCTTGATTGTCACACCAGAGTTTTGCTGGTATTGGATGCTCTAACCCAATTTCAGTCAACAGATGATGTATCCACATAATCTCACATGTAGACTGTGAGATAGCTCTATACTCGGATTCTGCACTGGATAGAGATACAACACTTTGCTTCTTACTCCTCCATGATACCAGGTTTCCTCCAACAAAGACACAATAGCCTGTAGTAGATCTTCTATCAATTTTCGATCTACCCCTGTCACCATCTGCAATACACTCAATACGAGTATGATTGTGACTGCTATATAATATGCCAAGTCCAGGAGCTCCTTTCAAGTAACACAAAATCTGTTCCAAAGCTGCCCAATGTTTGACCGTTGGTGCAGACATGAGCTGACTAACAATACTTACCGCAAAAGCAATATCTGGACGAGTCACAGTGAGGTAGTTTAATTTCCCAACTAACCTCTTGCATCTCTCTGGATCGTCAAAAGGATCACCATCATCTTTCATAAGATGCGCATTAGGAACCATTGGAGTACTGCAAGGTTTAGCTGCCAACTTTCCCATTTCTGCAAGCAAGTCAAGAATGTAATTTCTGTGAGACAAAAGAACCCTTCTTGCTTCTATTTACTTCTACTCCCAAAAAGTATTTCAACTGGCCCAAGTCCTTTGTATGAAACCTAGTATGCAGAAAATTCTTGAGGGAAGAAATCCCCGCATAGTCACTTCCTGTGATAACAATATCATCAACATATACAACAAGGAGAATAGTGCCATCTACTGATTTCCGATAGAAGACTGATGATCGCACTTACTCGTTTTCAACCCAAACTCTTGAACTACCTCACTGAACTTGCCAAACCAAGCTCGTGGACTCTGCTTCAAGCCATACAAGGACTTCTTCAAATGACACACTTTCCATACTCCCCCTGAGCAACAAAACCGGGTGGTTGCTCCATATACACTTCCTCCTGAAGATCACCACGAAGGAACGCATTCTTAATATCCAACTGATGTAAAGGCCAATTCTCGAACGCAACTAGAGAAATAAATAAGCGGACAGAAGTGAGTTTGGCAATCGGGGAGAAGGTGTCAGAATAATCCACCCCATAAGTCTGAGCATACCTTTCGCCACAAGTCTGGCCTTAAGTCTTGCCATAGAACCATCTGGATTAACTTTAACTGTAAAGGCCCACTTGCATCCCACTGGTTTCTTTCCCTTTGGTAAATCTACCAAATCCCATGTGTGGTTATCCTCTAAAGCATGTATTTCCTCAAGCATTGCATCAGACCATCCAGGATGATCCAAAGCCTACTTTACTGTTTTGGGTACGGAGATAGAGTCTAGAGAAGCAATCATAGATCTAGACGTAGAGGATAAGTGGTCATAGGAAACAAAGTTAGCAACAGAATATGTCGATTTGCAAGTACGTGTACCTTTGCGAAAAGCAATAGGAAGGTCAAGGTTATCTAGAGGATCAGGCAAAGAAGGATCAGATGATGCAAGAACTGGTGCGGGACATGTATCATTTGTCTCTAGCCTCCGCGAATAAACTCGAACAATTGGAGGTCTTGCTAACACAGTAGGAGCAGGTACTGAAGGCATAATAGTCGATTGGTGCTCAATAGAAGAACTGGGAGATCGAAGAGTATCATCTGATTGTTCTGTCAAAGTACGGGTAACATGATATACTAGTCACTCATTTTCCTTCCCCTAGCTTGTAGGAATCGGAGGTGCATAGAAGAATGGTGTAGTCTCTGAAAATACCACATCAGTTGACACTAAATATTTGCCAAGCTCAGTAGAATAACATCGATACCCCTTCTGAAGGCGAGAATAGCCCAGGAAAACACACTTCACAGCCTTGGGATCCAACTTGGTAAGAGATGATCGAACATCTCGAACATAACATGTGCTTCCAAACACCTTAGGTTCCATCGGAAATAATGACTTGTTCGGAAAAAGAACACTACAAGGCACATTACCATCGAGTACAATAGATGGCATGCGATTAATCAGAAAACAAGCCGTAGAAACCGCATCAGCCCAGAACTGTTTAGGAACCTTCATTTGGAACAAAAGTGCTCGGGCTGTCTCAAGTAGATGCCTATTTTTCCTCTCAGCAACTCCATTTTGAGAGGGTGTATCAACACATGAAGACTGATGTAATATACCATGTTGTCTCATGTAGGACTGAAATAACTCTGATATGTATTCTTTAGCGTTATCACTCCTTAGAGTATGTACTGAAGCATTGAATTGAGTTTTGACTTCAGCACAAAAGGCAGAGAAATGAGTAAACACTTCAGAGCGGCTCTTCATAAAGTAAATCCAAGTCATTCGAGAAAAATCATCTACAAAAGTGATAAAATACTTATGCCCAGTTTTAGAAACAACCGGACATGGTCCCCAAACATCAGAATGGACTAACTCAAAAGCTGACTCAGCTCGCTTATTAACCCTTGGACTTAACGAGATGCAATGGTGTTTTGCAAATCGACATGACTCACAATCCAATGATGAAATATTCTGAAACTGAGGACAGAGCTTCTTTAACAAAGGCAAAGAGGGATGTCCAAGTCGACAATGTGCTTCAAAAGGAGACACGATACTAGAGCATGCAATAGACCGTAGCTCCCGTTCATCAAGGATGTAAAGATCACCAGATATATATCCTTTACCAATAACCTACATCATCTTAAGATCTAGAAACAAACAATGATTGGGAAAGAATGCAACACAACAATTTAGGTCTTTGGTAATTTTACTAACAGAAATCAAGTTAAAGGCCAAGTTTGGTAGACTTAATACAGATGACAGGGTAATAGAGGAAGTTGGTTTAACAGTCCCAGATCCAACACTGCTACAAGTTGATCCATCAGCTATAGTAACCGGAGAGGGTGCTTTATGTGAGCGAAAGCTAGAAAAAATATTTGGATTACCTGTCATGTGATTTGTGGCACCTGAATCGATCATCCATTTATTGGAAGAGGTGATAAGACATGTTTTATCTGACCCAGCAAAGGCAGTAACTGAAGAAGATTCCTTAACTGATTTATTATATTGAAGGAATTTTAGAAACTCATTCGAAACTAAGATTGTTGGACTAGGAGTTGTTGCATTATTATTCTTTACCATCATTTTTTCCTTTCAATAACAAACTGATTAAACTAACAGAGGTCCCCGAAGCTAAAAGATACCCAAACAGATCCTGGTAGATACGAAATCAACAATCTATTGAACAGGATTCAACTTTAATAATCCACTCAACCAAATCAGAGAATCAAACGAATTTGTCCACAACTCAAACAAAATCAGAGACCAACAAAGTTTCTGATTCGGAAAGACCCAACTGACAGTATCAAGTCACTAATCGATCACCACAATGAGTCAAAAATAAAGATGCAAGCTTATCACACAAGCAGCCTCCAAGAAAAATACCACAGAATTAAAGAAATCGAATAACCAATAAACCAGACTCAAACCTGATCAAACAAAGTGAGAATAAGATCTGGTCTGAGGTTGTTTTTTGCCAAAATGTGGTTCTACGATCAGAGAACCACCACAAGTCAACTGGAAATGTCAAAAAGACCTCAGATTAGCTTACGGCCAAGGAATTTCCGGCAGCGGATTCGACTCAACTCCGACGAGCAGTAGACCTGCTCTGATACCATGTAAAGTACAGAGACAATAGAGAAATCTCTCTTGTGTTGTATTCAAGAAGTAACAAGTATATATACAAGTACATAGAGCCCTAACTATGGAAAGAATCAAAAAGGAAATCCTATAAATCTGCTGTGAATCCCTATAATTATGCTAGCTATGTATATTACATAAGATTATGTCTACATTCAGATTATGTCTACATTCATTATCTAATAGAGATGATTGGATGGCTAGTGGTGGTAGTCGTCCAGTGGCAAATTGCCAGATAGAGAGAGACTGGATGTGTGAATTAAACTGCCACAACTGCTGCTGAAAAGGTAATAGCATTAGCCATAACAAAAGAGTTTTTGTTAAGACTAAGAGCATGCTTGGCTCAAGTTCGAAAATTATGAGCCGAGGTGAGTCGAACCACTTGCAAGATGTCTTGCAAGTTCTCCCTTCTCAGTCCCAAGCATAAACAATCATTACTTATATAAAGCATGTAACATGTTAAAAAAATATACTTGCTTGATGAAGGCATCCGTGACTTGAACACCGGCAAGAAACCATCAAAGGTAAAACACACAGGACATAGTGCTGATGCATGTAACAAGTACTGCATCTCTAAACAAATACGGAAGCCATATCTTCTTCCATCATTTAAAGAAGCACCTAAACTTTCTGAGCAAATAGAATATATGGAAGAAAAGCTCCACAGAAGCAGCCAGCAAAACAGAAAGAGAGAGAGAGGGAAAGAGAGAGTCCATGCCCCTTTTGAGCTATGCATATGGCACTAGGCTTACAAAAGTTGATTGAAGTAGGGCTTGAGTCGAGCTCAAGTGCTCAGAGTAGGCTTGACTTATTGCAGCCCATGTCTGAGAGATAGGTGATCCAAGTGCAAGTGATGAACTAGGTGGGCGACAGCCGGTACTTCTAGATAGTGTCCGGGAGAATGAAAGATTTGTGAATCATCAAGGGAAAGTAGGTTGTTCAAATAGATATGATAACTTCTAATAGTAGTAATCAAGTAGTTGATTTGGGACCAAAATGATGGAGTTCCGACAGTAATAAATAATTAGTTTCATAACCATCAACCTGAGCTCCCCTCATTCGAATTGCTGCAGCCACCAGGGAAGGAAAAAGCTTGGATATTCACATTTTGCACTCCTCCATTCAGGAATCAAGCAACAGATCTTACACAAAGCATTCAGTCATTTATTTTACCCAAAAAGGGCATTTTAATTCTCACATCAAGAATGTTAAATTTCAGCTTAATTCATCTAGACCATGAAAAATCAAAATAGGTAAAATAAGTAATAACATGAGAGTAAACAAGACAGAACAAGAGAAGAAAAATGAAATTACTTACCTCAAAAAAAGACCATATCTAGAGAGCACAGTAGTTCCAGAAAATTTACAATGGAACTTCATATTGCCATTTTCATTTCTATTTTCCGGTGAGGATCATAACCGACAAGTGTGAAATCAGTAGCAACGAAGGAATCCATGTCCTTTTTCTGTGGATTGATATTCAGAATCTACTCCCATTCAGGAATAATAGAAGTTAGAGACAGAGACAGAGAGAATGCGTGTCTGTGTAAGATTAAAACAGCACAGCAATTAAGGTAGTAATACTTACTGGAAAAGGTCTAGGCATCTTCTGAAGCTGGTCTTGCAGAGGTCTGACATGAGTGCGATATACATGAGCATCTCCAATAACATGGACAAAATCACCAGGAACCAGATCTGGGAAAAGAAAGGTAATGAGAAAATCATGAGATGCATCATCTGAGAAAACATTATTGGGAAGCAACTTAAAGAAGAAGTGGAGCTGTTAATATCGAGAAAAGGTCTGGTTCGTGTCTCTAACTAAAGAACACAAGCATTTCTTGTTTGGAATTTCAGAAGTTCCAGTTCCTTTTCATAACCTCTCAATAATTTTAGCTATCACGAATGCATGATGGTAGAGAATAATTCATAACCCAAAACAAAATGCAGGACGATAGACCTGCTTCACAACGGTTAGATGAAACGACATATACGCCATACTTAAAATATACCAATATTACAATTAGAACCTTAAATTTGAAAGATGAAGACATATGAAGAGGTTGGAGTAGGATGGCTAACCAAGCTATTTAATGCTATACTTGGAAGTGGTAGGATGCCCCACGAGTGCAAAAGACCCTAATTACAATTTATAAAAACAAAAAAGATATTCAAAGTTATGCGAACTATCGTTGTATTAAAACTATGAGTCACACGATGAAACTTTGGAAAAGAGTGATGAGCCACTACAAGAGTGACAAAGAACCAGTTTGTATTTATGTCCGGTACATCTATGGAGGCTATATTTTTGCTAAGGAGATTGATGGAAGTTTATCTCCAGAGGAAGAAAGATTTGCACATGGTGTTCATTAACCTAGAAAAAGCATATGATAGAGTACCAAGAAAGATCATTTGGTGGGTATTGGAGAAAAAAAGAATTCACATTAAATATATAAATGTCTAAAAAACATGTATGACGGAGTTGTTACTAGCATCACAACAGTAGTAAGAGATATAACGAAGTTTCTCATAACCATTGGTATACACCATGGATTGACATTGAGCCCGTACTTGTTACACTTAGTTATAGATGAGCTAACCAACATAATACAAGATGAAGTTCCATAGTGTATGCTATTTGCTAACAATATTGTGCTAATTGACAAAAACAATGAGGGTGTCAACCAAAAGCTTGAACTATGGAGAAACAGTCTAATAAATAAGGATTTTAGGATAAGTAGAAACAAGACTAAATATATACAGTGCAAGTTTAGTCAACATAAGAGTGAAATGGAGGTGAAAGTAAATGGGATTGTAGTGCCTAAAGGAAAGCAATTCAGATATTTAGGCTCGTTCTAGGAGAATGGGATGATAGATAAAGATGTTACACATAGAATCAAAATCAAATGGATGAAATGGAGAAGCGCTACAGGGATGTTATGTGATAGAAGGATGCCTACCAAAGTGAAAGGTATAAGACCAGCAATGCTATAGGAGAGTGAATGTTAGGCCGCTAAAGCTCAACACATCCACAAGATGAATGTCGCAGAGATATGAATGCTAAGATGGATGTCTAGCCATATAAGATTAGACAAGATTAGAAACGATCACATTCTTGAGAACGTTCAAGTAGCACACATTGAGGATAAAATGAAAGAAGGTCGCTTAAGATAATTCGGTCACGTCCTGCATTGACATACGAATGCACCAGTCTATACGTGTGAAAAGCATTAAAAGTGGACCAGGTAAACCTAAAATCATATGGAAGGAAGTCGTTTCTAAGGATTTATAATCTTTAGGGATCCATGCAGACTTAGCAAAAGATAGGGTACAATGGAAGAAAAAAATCTATATAAGTGGCACCTATTAGTTGATAATGTGTTTTAGACATGTTAGCACTTTCGTCGTAGGTCCTATGCTTTCTAGGAATAGTTTAGCCTTTCAAAAATTATACGTTTAGAAAATACAGAGCACTTATAATACCTTTAATGGTATTGCATACTATTGGCAGTAGATTAGTTTAAACAGAGTAACATGGACAGTGAAGATTCATATAGCCGAACCCAACTTGTTGTTTAGGAGTAAGCCATAGTTGTTGTAAGACATACGGTTTTGAGACAGGCGTAATCCCCTTTTCCAAATTCCTGACTTCGTAAATGTGTTCTGGGAGATCTTATTCACTTAATTACAGTGTTTTTTCATCCACAGTCTAGCACCTAAATTGATAGTTCACTCTCTATTATATTGACAATTCCCCTAATACAAGTGTGAAATTAGACACAAGCATCTTGACAGCATACCAGTAACATGAGCTACCATGCATGTCAACAAAGCATATGATGCGATGTTAAATGGCACTCCCAAACCCATATCTGCAGAGCGCTGATACATTTGACAGGATAACTCCCCATTGGCAACATAAAACTGCAAACAGAAGACGGAACAAAGCTTTATAATGTTGACAATACTTTAAGCTTTACATAAGCATCATGATAATACAGACTTGAGCAAACATATGACAAGGTGGGAGTGCCATGAGTTTAATATCAGAAGGATTCCAAGCCGAAAGTATAATACGTCTATCATCTGGATTATTTTTAATCTTGTTGATAACATCAGCCAATTGGTCAAACCCTTGCCCAGAGTAGTCAGTGTGCATGTCAATGTACCTGTATATAGCAAGTGCAGTGGGACAAGTTACAACTGAATTCAATGAGTTTTGACCAGTTATATGTCAGAGAAGTTCAAAAACCAACCTGGCACCAAAGTGTCTCCACTGAAACCCATAAACTGGTCCCAGATCACCCTCTTCCCTGTCCTTCAAACCGATACTGAAATGGGAAGCCCAACTTGTGATCATTTCGAATTGTAAAAGACTGCAAGAAAAAAAAAGAACAATTTACCTGTCAAGGTAATCTCTGGATGCATTGCCATCCCAAATATGAATGCCCTTCTGTTGTAGGACCTGAGAGCTACATCAACTTCATTATGCAGCTTAAATGGCCAAAAATCACTAACTAACAAAAACAAGCTCTAAGGGTCTATAACATTTAAAGAAAGCATTATTGACATTGAAGTAGAACCTAAAATATATATAGACTATTGAACAACAGACAGATACCTTAGAACTAGTTGATCCACTGATAAACCACAAGAGTTCTTCAACAACACCTCTCCAAAAGACTTTCTGAAAGCCAAAAATAACAAATTAAATAAGATAAGTGATCCACAGAGGAATGCGCTTATGATTCGCGTGATTGTACTAGTATACGCTACAGCATTACCCTATACCTGTAATACACATTGCAGTAATACAATGATGGGACATCAGAATAACAAAAGCAGCGTAACTTACAAATTGAAAATAATAGATCATACCTTTGTTGTAAGAAGCGGGAAAGATTTGCGCAAATTGAACCTCATCTGTAGACATAATAAAATATACAGAAAAAAAAGCAATCAGATATTAATTAATACTACATAGAATTTAATTTTCTTCCATAGGGCTTGATATGCATTCTTCAATGTCATTTGGTATGACTAGACAGAAGTGATGCAGTACTATGATGATGTTACTTCTTTACACACCATAAAGAGAAGAAAAAGATCAAATATAGCTGAACATATTGATGCTTCTGATTACCTGGCAACCGAATTTTGACAGAGTTCCTGTTCCTGTCCTGTCATCCTTTGGCATGCCATTTGATATGATTTCTTCAACCAATCTCAGATACTTGTATTCTTCATGTTTCTCAAAAATCATGTTAGGCAAGAAAGAAAATATCTTAACCTCATCCTGGGAAGAATCCAAGCAATTATCAGGAATCTTGCTATTCGTCTGATTAATTTGTTTTACTCCAGAATTCTTCACACGAACATAGGTGGTAAAAGAAAACCGAATATTGTTTTCAACCAAAGGAAATGATGAGTGCCAGGGTTGAAATAAAGAGACATCAATTGCAGGAACAAAAGTGTCACATTCAAAATTAGTCCCAATTTCAGTGACATGAATTGCTTCACATCCATGACCATTGAGGGAATCCCTGCATCAAAAAGATCATAATTACAAAATTAAAGCATAAAAAGCTAGACAGCTAGCTAACTAAAAGAGCAGCAAAATCTCTACCTGAAAATCTCACCACCTCCTATAACAAACACTTTCTCAATTGATAGACAATAAGGGGAGACTGCCAATAATTGCAAAGCGGAACATAAGCTCCCACATATAACGACATTTTCTGCAGTAGCGATGTCAAAACTCCCTGAACGCGTAAGAATAACATTGAGGCGGCCAGGAAGAGGCCGATTTTTAAGAGGAATACTTTCCCAAGTCTTTCTGCCCATAATAACAGCATTCTTTTTTGTAGAATCTGATGTAGTGCTAGTGATCTCCTTGAAGAACTTGAGATCTGAAGGCAGTTTCCAAGGTAACTTCCCCTCCTTACCAATACCCATACTTCGAGTTGCAGCTAAAACAACTTGGTAACTCCTTTGGGGAGTAGAATTATCATTGGTGCTACCATTGGAAAGGCCAGTACTGGTTTCAGTTTCCATAACTGCGTAAGAGGCTTGGAAGAGACTAAATGATAAAAAGTTGCACCTAGGATCAGACGATCGGCTTCTACCAAAATGAAGTAAAGCCTGAAATTTAGAGAAGGAAGAAAATTTATCAATAACGTGTTAACAGCAAAATTCTTTACATAAAATGAGTTACTCATGGAGATGCAAACGTTATCCAGTCAATAAGTAGTAGACAATATGACTTGATCAATAAATACATAAAAGTAGACCCCTAAAACAGACCAATTCTCAGGGGTGCTGTTACAGATCAATAATCCAGAGCAAGAGAATATAAGCAATTGCAACCTCTTCAACAATATACAGCAACTGCTTATCTTTTGGTTTTTTTTTTTTTTTGGTTTTTCACCCGATATATGGTACCCACATTGGGGACTCGGCTAAATCCGGATTCGTGCCAAGAAGTCCCACATTGGTGGGTAAAGCGCTCCTTAATTATGTAGTGTACCAAACAAAACGTAGAAAATAGGCAAGAGAATCATAATACATGAGTTTAGGTAATACTTTATCATTATTACCCTTTCGCACCAAGTAATAAATGGTCTCAGGCACTTGCCTGACTAGACATGATTGGCTTTTACTTATTAGCATGTCATTGATAGAAAAAAAACATATTAAAAACCTTCAGAAAGATCACACTCCATGCAAACTAATCATTAGAGTAGATCCAGTCTTCCTGCAAAGAATTAGACCACACAACACATTCAAAAAGCAGGACATGTAACCAAAATAATCAGCAGCACTTCAATGCAAAATAGTTTGAGTCAGCTGCATGAATCCTCTGTATTATTCAGGTCCATTTCTTTCTAAGAGGATTTACTATAAATACCAAATTTTAAACTAACATCAACTTACTGCAATGCTCCTCCTTATTCGGTATTGGGACCAGCTAAATTCTAACAAATTATTGCATAGAGTCATTGTGATTGCTAATACACTTATTTTGAACCTCATTTATATAGAAAGTTAATGCGTTCAATAATCAAATTCGTCAATTGAGCTTGAGAAAATCAACAAAATAATATGAGTAAAATAAGTAATGGACTGCGTCTTGAGAAATGAATAAAGCAAATGCAGTAGGAAATCACCAAACCTAACTATTCTGAACTAAAATCCATAAGATCATTAATACTCACTTCAAAGACAGAAAAGTACAAAATCAATAATTCACTATTCCCATAAAGAATTATGCCATACAATACAGTCAAAGATCAGGATAATAACCAAAAATTAAATAAAATGGAGATATTAACTAAGCTCACTTATTTTTAAACTGTCCTTTATAAAGATTAAAATCGTCTGATCATCAAATTCCTTAGTTTGGTTTGAGAAAAATAACAATCAATCCCAACCTAGAAGGAGTCGGCTATATATATAAATCCTCTATATCACCACTAAATTTTATCATCTAGTGGTACCGATGGGACTCTTCTACACAAAAGGTGCGGGTTTCATTCTCATTGTCCCCTCCCCTTCCACCTCACCCATGTAATAGAAAATTTCTATAAAAAATAAAACATACCTCTATATTAATTCAACTCTATTTTCTTTTTTCTTTTTTTTCAACAACCAACAAATCCGCGAGACAGTGGCATGAGGTTGGAAACTCAGTGAATAACAGCGCCTCCACCCCCCCCCACCCCCACCCCCACCCCACCCCCAAAGAAACCTCCACTTATTCGTTGCACTCAATTTGGCCCTTTTCCCCCAAATTTTTGATCATTTATGATATTATGAGTAATTCTAATACTGCATCCTACTCCTTTATCCGTATGGACAGTGAATAAGGAACTGCAGTAAGAAATTAAATCATCGAACCTACTACATAATAAATGCATTAAATCATCAGTTATCAGTTAAAACCCCCAAAAAAAATAAGAACGAAAATAGGATAAGGAAAAGAGAGAGAGTAACATGTAAGATGGGGAAGAAAAAGAAAATGCAGGAAGAAATTACCGATCGGAGAGTAAAGCGTGAGAAGAACGTAATTTTGAAGAGTTTTGAAGTGCAATGTGGTAGAATTTTGGTAGAGTGAGCGAAAAAGATTTTACAGATGAAACTAAACTAGGGTTACGATGGCGGGAAAGGGACTTGGAAGTGTTACGAAACGAACAGATATATCCTAAGGCCACGTAGGAATAGCAATAGGGCGGGAAGGGGCAATTCTTAGCTTGTTTTAGTTTTCTGTATATATATATATTTAGTTTTTTTTTATTTTAATTGGGGATAGAGGAAAGGAAAATGGAGCGGATTCTTACAAGATGGGAATGGAAGTAGACAACCAAACTAAGATTCCCATGTGTTATTTTATATGATGATAAGTGTTTGATTATATGTCAAGACTTAAAAAGTATTTGGTGATCTAGATGGTTAGCGTCAGTAAAGGATCGTTTGTTTTTTAGTGATTAAAATATGTGAATTTGAATATACACTTAAATGTTAATATGTTGTATTTTGACATGAGTATTGAATAATTAAGACTAATTATATTTTCAAGATCTGAATGTGTAAAATTCAACTTTATTAAAAAGACGAATAAATAATTTAAATATTTTGTCAAATTGTTATGTTATAAGGCGGTGGTGGTAGTTGCGTTGTAAGAGTAGTGATGATTGTTGCACAATAGTGGTGATTGGTGGTAGTGGCTGGCGGTAGTCTGGGGTGCGCATTCGGTACTTCGGCATGGTATTTAAGAACTACGGTTCGGTACTTCAGTATTGGTAAATCAATTGTATATACTAAATACCGTACCAAAATAGTTCGGGACGATTTGATATTTCTTGTTTGATTCAGTACGGTTTCGGTACGATTTCGATAGCCAACCAAACTAACAGTTTTCAACTTTTTTTTTTTTGCAAGTAACAATCTAAAGTGGATACATTCCATACGAAGCATAGCAAAAACAGTATAGCAAATTACATGTCGAAACAGAATTTTTGCAATATTGACTTCTGAAAAAACATTGCAACATAGCTCATATTAGACTAGCAATGGACAACACGAAAAATGGAAGCTCCATGTTAGCTATTTGTCCAAAAGAATTATGATAATACTAGAAAAGGCACACTTTTTAACGAGCATTATCTCTTCACCCAAACATCAATGATCCATTCGGACATATTTCGGATTCTTGAACTTGTTCCACTTAACTGGAAGTAAGGAACAAGCATAGATATATAAGTTAGTAAATTATTCCATCGTGCTAAAAACTTGCAATAAGATGTACAAACACAATGGTCATGAGTCATCTTCCACGACTATAGCTTACTATTGACTTACATTTTCATCGAACAACAACCTACTGCAATTGGGATTAAGCCTAATATTTGATAAGTTATGTGCCTTTTTGTTTTGATGATTTAACAAGCTTCATATGAGAACCAAAAGGGAACCTCATACAAAGTCTCACAATGCTCAGAACAACAAGTCAAATGTCTGGCACAAGTTCCAATCAAATCCATTAAGGGAATGGCTGAGGGAATATATAGACGGAACAAATAGAGATCAGTTCCTCTGGTGACAGTACAAGTCAAATCTAATAGTTGTTAAAGTTGTTGCCCTGTACACGCAATATTACAGAAGCACTGTTGAAGCATGCAATGTACTGGTCACTCCCTTGCATCATCTTGATGACCTCACTCTTATATTATCAACATGAGGCAAGGGATTTCAACATACTTTTGCAAAAACCTAAAATTATTTTTTTTTCTCTCAAGTGTGTAGCCGCATTCATTCTCTCCAAGGCATTGAAGAACAAAGCAGCAACATAAAAAAGGACCAGATCCCATCATTGGTTATGTCGTATGTCCTTTAGTATTATTGTGTCTTTATATGTGTTATAAATTGTAATTCCTACTCAGCTTGTTTAGAAGTATTTCGTAGGACATCTCTTAAACCATATTTTGTGTGGTTGTTTTTACTAGAGTTAGTTAAGTGGTTAGCTTTGTAATTGAGTTATTACAAAGAGACTTACAATATGGTTATTGTGAGTAGGTGAGAGATTAAGAGTTTAATTCCTAAATTAAGACTTACAATATAGTTATTGTGAGTAGGCGAGGGATTAAGAGTTTAATTTCTAAGTTACAATAGGTTGTAATCTAAAGTTTGCTCAGTTAGTGAAGTTGAAACCCTACCAGTGTAGATCGTGGTTTTTAATCCCGTGAGCTGGGAGTTTTTCACATAAACATTGTTGTGTTATTTACTTACTGTTGTGTTCAATGGGAACTAATAGAGAACCAGGTTCTCTATACAGTTTGGTAAACTCTCAGTTTACATCAATTGGTATCAGAGCCAGAGGCGGATCCAGGATTTAGAGACTCCGGGTGCCAAAATTTTTGAACGTAGTCATATTATAATACATTGTCTAAATAGGGTATAAATTTAATCGGTTGGTTATTTGAATTTCGGTTCGGGTTATTCGTCTTTGGAGTTAATATAAACAAACCGACCGAGCAAAAAGATTATATGATAATTACGATAACATGGAAATAAAGCATAAAAATTCAACTGGATTATGCATTTTGTACCAGAAAAAAGAATCGTTATCAGTTTATATTTTTAACTATTTAATAAGTGAAAGTACCCCTGTACGACGAAGGGTACTTTCGAAATAATGTCATTTATTTTGGGCATTTTGGTATTTTCATTTCAGCTCTTCTATTTCCTCTTAACACGTGTTGGAACTTGGAACCCTCCTATTTCCTATAATCCACTTATTTGCACAAGCCTCATTTTGCCATTTCTCCTTCTTCATCACTCTTTATTCCTTTTTCATTCTCTACAATTTGAGGTTTGCCTTCTTCTGATCATTTTAATTTTAATTTTTCTCTCCTTCTTACCTTCTGTTTGCACGGGCATTTTTTTATTCTCGTGTTCCGATTCGATTTACCTGTTGTAGGTGATATTTGGTTTAATTTTTCCTGTTGGTTTCGAATTTCAGTATTTTTTCCTTTAAGACTATACAAAGAAAATTTTGCAACAACTTTTAAGATTTTGTTGTATGTGTTTGGAGGTAATTGATTTTCTTCTTTTTTATTTTTTTGGTAGAAAATTTCAAGGTTTCAGTCTGTAATAGTGTGGTCATCTTCTTCAAACGCAGTAAAATTTGAGCCCTAATCCTCTGTGTAGAGAAAATTTTGCAACAGCTTCTAAAATTTTGATGCATGTGTTTGGAGATAATTAATTTCTTCCCTTTTAATTCTTTGGTACAAAGTTTCATTTTTTTTTCTGTAACAGTGTGGTCATCTTCTTCAAATGCAGTAAAATCTGAGCCCTAATCCTCTGTGTAACATTAATGGATGTCATTTTTGAGTGATTTTTCCATTTCGGATTTCTCTGACATCATATTGCTCTTCCGCTATGTGTTTTGTGTGTTCTGCATTGTCGTCTATTGTACAGAAAAATAAAGCTTATTCTTTAATTACATGTTATGGTATGTGAACTCTACGACTGTTGTCTAATGTTGCGGCATGTGACAACTTTGTATTTTTTGTTGTTGCTTATTTTGGAAAAAAGTGAGATGATAATTTCTTTCTTGTTTCTATCAATTGATTGGAATTGAACTGAACTAGAGTTATTCAATTGAATTTTCTATATTTTCTGAATTTATGTGTTTCTGTAACTCATTTTCTGAAGGTCGATTTTTATTAGACTTTGCAGGTATGCATTTTCTATTTGGACCGTTAAGCTCTTAACACTGTTAGTAAGCTCAATTATCTATTTTTGCTTATATCATCTAAATTTTTAGGTGATATGAAGCTTAAGAAGCAGATGAACTGCCATAGTATTGGTTAACATGATAGACTAACAGTCAAGTATAATCATAGATTTGGATTTTGTGTGTGTAAATTCTTATGTGATTATTTTAGCACCTCAGACTTTATTTCCTAATAATAGGTTAAACTGGTGACACAATTTCCTGATTACCTTTTATGCTTCTTGTTGCAGTAGAAAGAAGAGGAAAGAGGGTAAAATTTATGCAACAAAAAGGAAAAGTAAGTTAATCTTCTTATACAAATTATATTGGCAATTGATATTTTGTTTCCTTGATTTTGAGTTGCCGCCAGCTGCTTAAACATGTCAAAATTTGTTTTTCTGGTGACATGGTGCCAAATATGTCATCGATTGACATGTGTGACTTTCATGTTTCTTCAACTTGTATGTGCTAATTAATCGGTTGTTGAACACTGACACTCTTACCTTCTTTTTTTCCTCATTCTAGCTGATAGATTGTATCTTGTATAACTTATTTTAAAGTTCTTTTATATCAGTAGTTTATCTTGTGTAACCGGGTGAGAAGCCTAATATGTACAAAAAATGGATTGCATCTTCTCAAAGCTTGAATTTTTCCATTAAAACAACAATAATAACAACGCCTCAATCACAAGCGAGTTGGTAATAAATTCTTCACTTGAGACAACATATTTGGTATACAAACAACATTGTCAAATGGTGTCATTATATGTGATACAAGTTGTACTTTAAAAAAATATGTAATTGCATGGATACATTTGTATATAACCTTCTGTTCTTAAATTTGTTCTTAGAGCTCCAGGGGAAGAAGTTATTAGCAATACATTATGGACCTACTGAGAATTCTCATATTGCTAGCGTTAGGGAGGCATTGACGCATTTTGTTGTCTCATTGAATGACAAGGAGTGGTTGAAAGAAGAGAGAGAATCTTGCTAAGGGAGTGAAACAACAATTTCAAGAGATGATGCTTCAGCGCTCAGTGAATCTACTAAGGTACATTTCTCCCTGCGGGCTGCGGTTGATATGTTAATGAGGAGACACTTCTTTCTAATTAGATTGTTTCTCATATAGTACTTGTATGCACATATCCATGATCTTTCACAGGGACAAAACGAGCAACAACCCTTGAGTTCTAATACCGTCAATTTTCATATAAACCTTGTTTCTCAGTGATTTCCTGTTTTCTCCATGTTTTTGGATGATGCTTATATGTATTAGCAAACTTCTTATCCATCCAGTTGATAATATTAAAGTTGATTGACTAATCATAGTATATATGTCTCTCCCTTATTTGTATGGATTGGAATGTGTAATTCCAACTTACTCACAATTATTCTTTTCCAGCCTTTATACTAGGATCATATGTTTCCCCAATAATGTGTAATTCTAATCCTTTCTTTCACCTGGATATCCAATTCTAATTTTCTTTTTTACTTGCAATTTTGTGAAAATAGAAAATAGAAGAGAGAAAACATTTGTTTAATTGGTTGTAAAAATAAAAGAAGAATTCGTTTAACTTTCAACAACTTTGAGTGAGTGTAGGGGTGATATCACTTGGATAAAAGTTGCTCTTTAATATTATTGTTGATATTTATCCTGGTGGTCCTTATTGGGCGATATACCGCATTGTTGATTTCAGCACTAATTCAATAATTTGTGATCCATTTCTAGCTATATATTTTGATTTTTGCGTGAAAAGATATAATGCCATCTTTAATTTTACACCTTTAGATTATCTGAATATTAGGATTGGCTGTTTGACAACATAACATTATCAGTTTTTTATAAACAAATTTAGTTGTGCAAATGTTATTCTATTAAGGTAGTGTTTTGAAGGTGATGCTATAATGAAAGTGTCTATATTGCATGATTAGAAAATTTTGTGTCCAAGAAGTGAAGTTAATACTTTTAAAGCTTGTTTTTCTTTTGCATCGTTCTAGAGGATTGTCTGAGGTTTCTTCAACTCAGCCAGTAGAGCTTAATGTTGCCAAGTGTTAGAATTTTACTCTCCTCTCCTCAGTTTAGAGTGTCTCCATCCTTTCTCCATCTGTCCTCGCTACCAACTGGGCTTCCTGTATAGAGATAAAAATGCTATGGTGATTGGGGATTATCATTCTTAGCTAAAGGTTCGTATGACATCTTACTTCTTAATACATTACATTAGTACTATCCTTTTTGAGTAGTGTGACCGTACAAAGTGGTACGTGGGGGGGGGGGGGTGTTCCTGCATTATTTTGTTCTGTTTTCTACATTATTGTCAGTTTCTGCTCCATATTTGTGCAGTATGCGCTTACTTTTCAGTTGGTGCGCCATATTCTTGTATCTTCTTTTTTTTTTTTGCTGTAGATTTTCCTGCATTTTGCCCTCTATGCGTTTTCATTCATGCATGCTGCACCTGCTTTATAGGTTTTGCTCTTTTTGGGATGCGTTTACCTGCAATTTGCACATGTTTTTTTTGCAGTTCAACTCATATTTTTTTGCATCTGGGATAAAGTTCTCTCAAAATTGTATAGCAATGAAGGTATATTGAGTGATTGACTTTTACAAGAAGTGCAGTTTCTTTTGTACGATTGTCCTTGCATATTTCATATTGTGTATAACATAATAACTGAAATGAATGTACATTGTATGGAGCTATTATGTAAATATCTAATCAGCATGATCATAGGTTTTCTTTATATGTAAATGGTTATTATGCTAAACAATTGAAATAAATATGAACCTTTTTGGTACAATAATGCCGAGGTACAATAATGTCGGGCTTATGCCCGTGCTGTGCACGGGCCCGTGCCATCTAGTAGATACTTAAGGCAAAAACTTATACTAATAAGTACTCCAAATGTTAATAAAGTTTATGGACATTTTTCAATTTATATTTTTTATGAAAATTAACTCATTCGATATTATATACAATTGCCCTACTTTAGAGCAATCTAAAAGAAAATAAATTTTCATCATTGATTAAAACAATAACTTATTCAAGGTTTTTTTTATGGTTTCTGCAAATGAATTTCCAGAATTGTGGTCCCGGAGAAAACAATTATTTTTTCTTTATCTATTGATTAATCACGGAGGAGTTAGGAAAGTGCAACAATAGGGATTTCCTTGAATAGATTTGTGAAAGGTTCTTTTTATATATTTATGTTAAATGTTTAAAGAAAAAAAAGGAGAAAATAAATTTCAAAATTAACTAATAAGATCAAAGAAAAAGTCAATACAGAGAAAGAAGAAACAAAGGATCCTCCTGTAATTGTCTTAAATGCACCAAACAAAAGCTTTTAAAAAATGAGCCAAGCCAGGTTCGAGCCCCTACCATGTGGGTGAAAAAGGTGGTGCCTTACCAATGGCACCTTGAGCCTTTTTGTTATTGAGGGTGCCACTTAAAATATTTGTATACATTCCTTCTATATACACATGCATGTATATATACTATTTCATAGTCTCTGCCAAAGCTTGAGGGTGGCGTACTACCCCGTCCCTTACACGTAGATCCGCCCCTGATCAGAGCAAGTTCTTTCTATAAGGTTAACACCTAGAAAGGATCAACATAGCTGCTCCACCAAACTTTGAAGAAGGAAAATCAACCTACATACCACCAAGATTCAATAGCCAATACTATGGCTGATAGAAGATGAGGATGCATGATTTTATCATGGCAGAAAATCAAAGCTTTAGGATGTTATTTGTGATGGAAACTTTGTCCCCATGAAGACCACTGGCGAGGGAAGAATTTGTGACTACCCGGCCGGTTGTCTTAAGAATTAACGCCCCGATCCCCTATTATCTGCTTTCCCCAAGTTTATTCCTACTATTTTGATTTGCCGGGACGTTCGGTTTTGAGTTCGAAGAGTTTTGGGACACTTAGTTCGTAAATGAGAGCTTAACTGTTGGAAAATGGCTCATGGTCAGAACAGTGTGAAAACGGCCTCGGAACGGAAATTCGATTGGTTCCGTTAGCTTCGTTAGGTGATTTCGGGGTTGGGAGCGTGTTCGGAACGTGTTTTGGAGGTCCGTAGCTAATTTAGGCTTGAATTGCCGAAAGTTGGAATTTTGAAGTTTCCGGTTCGATAGTGAGATATTGATCCGAGGGTCGGAATGGAATTCCGGAAGTTGCAGTAGCTCCGTCATGTCATTTGGGATGTGTGTATAAAATTTCAGGTCATTCGGACGTGGTTTGGTTAGGTTTTTGATCGAAAGCGTGTTTTGAGAGAAAATGAAGTTCTTAGGCTTAAATCGGTGATTAATTCGAGTTTCCGATGTTGTTTTAGGTGTTTTAAGGATTGGTACAAGTTTGAATGAGTTAGTAATCAGAGTTTGATTGAGACTCAATTGCTGATCCTTTGTCGAATTTGAGTCCTATAACAATACAAACTCCAACCCTTATCCTTGATCTGGATTAAGTTATCTCCACATTAGGAGACTTCATCTCCTCATCCTTTATGCAACCTTTTCGATCAATTCAGAAGATATTGCTGCTTGATTCTTGAGACTTATCTTCTTCACGTGCATCTCACATGTATAAGTAGATAACCACTGTGTCTCACATGATGAACCTGGTCCATGACTGAGTTCATTTGTCAATCTTCAAAACTTCATCTGAACTTGGGCCAACAAATTCCCCCTTTTTGATGATGACAAACTCTGTGCTTTTACTGATCAGAGAACCTGTGGAACTCAGCTTAATTATCAACACTTTAACTTAGAAATCTTAACTTATCATTAAGGACCAGGTTTAATCAGGTTATAAATATCACTTTAGTTCAGAATACAAAGTAAAGCACAATATCTCTTCCCCTTTTGGCATCATCGAAAAGTTGCATATATTGTGAACCCAGATATTAATAATTACTCATGGCCATTGGGGCAACTGCAAGTGAAAACATGGTTTAATTAATCAACAACCAGCAAACAAAATTAACTATTAAGATCAGAATCTGCAATAGAACAAGAGAAATAGCAAATTGTCATTGATTAGAGATGCCTCCATACACAGACCACAAAAAGAAAGAAAAAAAACTTCCAACCATGAGCAAAAACAAAAAAAATCCCTAACTGGGTCACTGGGGGGGGGGGGGGGGTTCTAGACTGGTTCAAAGACAGGGACTGGACGTCCTATGTCTTGGAGGAACTAGAGGGCTGGGTTTGGAGAAGGTTGAGCATATTCTGAAGCATTCCATCACTCTTTTCCTTTTCCTTTTCTAGCTCATATTTAAGGCCATTTCTCTCATTTTCCAGTTCAGCAATACGGGTCTGGAGCCTAGCAATTTCAACATCTTTTGTTCCACATTCTTGAACCAATGCCCTAACCTTGCTATTCACAAGAGTCTTCAGAGATGAACCAGGTTCAACTGGGGTGGCATCTACTGGATAGTCACAAGCCATAAGAGTCTTGACACCAAAGTGCTCCTTGCTTGATGCCATTTCCCACTTCTTCAAAGGCACATTTAGCCTTTCCAGAACAGTAGTCAATAGGAACCCATATGGTGTGGCATGAGCTTTGGAGCCATTGATGACTCTATCCAGTAGTTTGACATAAAAGCAGGCCAGTTTATCTGCTTTCCTCTCACAAGGCACTCCATGAGGNTTTGTTATCACTCTCATTTGCCCTAGACTCTAGACTTTTGCATTTTGCTTTTAGGATCACACATTCCCTAGACAGAACTTCTTTCTCATTGTTAATTATTTCAGATTCATCAATGAAGTCTAGTAATAGCTCAGCCAACTTTTCTTTAGACAACAATTTAATCTTGTCTTTGAGATGAAAAATACTTACCTCTTGTTCATCATCTGATTCTCCGATGGCCATCAGTGCTTGCTCTTCTTCAGCTTTATCTTCTGAGTCTTCATCCGAGGTTTCTCCCCATACAGCAACCATAGCCTTGGTTGAACCTTTGTTTCTTTTTGGTTGAACTTGTTCCTTCTTCCTGTTCCTTCGAGCTCTTTCTTTCTTCCACTCAATTTCCCATTGACGGTAGTTTTTGATCATGTGATCAGTCTTACCACACTTGTAGCAACCCTCATTGGTCTTTTTTTCAGGAGCTCTTGTCTTGTTGAAGGTTGTACCTCTTGAAGAACCCTTTCCTCTTAATAGGTACTTTTTAAAATCTCTAGTGATCATAGCCATCTCATCATCTTCCAGATCTGAACCTTCAGCAATTCTGAGAGCTAAGCTTCTCTCCTTCTTGGGGGTATCCATCTTTATGGTTTGCCTTCTCATTTCATAAGCAGTCAGATTTCCAATCAGTTCATCCAGTCTGAGAGTAGCAATATTCTTGGATTCCTGAATAGCAGTGATTTTGCTTTCCCATGTGACTGGCAGAACCCTAGTCAGAATTTTCTCAACCTTGTCTTCTTCAAGAATAACCCTTCCAAGAGACTTAAGTTCATTTGTCAGTGTAGTGAACCTAGTATACATCTCCTGGATAGTTTCTCCTTCCTTCATACTAAAATTCTCATATTGAGAATACAGCAATGTTCCTCTTGATCTTTTCACTTGAGGTGTTCCTTCATGGGCCACTTGCAAAGTGTCCCATATCTCCTTAGCAGTAGTACAACTTTGGATCCTACTGTACTCATCTGGACCTAGTCCACACACCAGCCATTTCTTGGCCTTAGCATTTTTCTCCCACTTTCTCAGATCTTCAGCAGTACAGTCAGCCCTTGTCTTTGGCACATCAACTCCTTCAGCATTTTTCTTTGTGGTTGCTAGGGGACCATCACTGACTATGTCCCAAAGTTCATAGTCTTCCCCTATGATGTGATCTTTCATCCTGTTCTTCCACCAAGAATAGTACTGACCATTGAAAAGTGGAGGTCTAGCAGTGGATTGCCCTTCCCAGTTCCCAGGTGGTGCACTCATGTTGATCTTTTCCTAAGGTGTTAGCCTCTTCAAGGATAACCTGCTCTGATACCAATTGATGTTCTAAACGTCAATACCACACAAGAGGGGGGGGGGTGATTTGTGTGGTACCCAATTTTCGCTCTAGAAGAATCTGGTCCTTCTAATTGTACTTACTACTACTGTTTGCGGAATTAAAAGTGCATAAAATAAAGAACTCAGAGATTTTTACGTGGAAAACACCTGGCTCAAAAGGTGAAAAAACTACGACCTACTACTCAGTAGGATTTTCCCAAACTTCCACTAAAATCACTGAGCCAAAAATAGCATTTACAAAACTCTTGTAAACCTAAGGATTAAACTCTAATCCCTGTGTGGCACACAGCCTCAACTGCTGCGACACTTTCAAGTTAACTCTAACTTGAATACTCAAAGTACCTAATACAATTGCTTCTATGAAAGCTGGAAAGGTACAACTTTAAACCACCTACTACAATTGAACTAGAATAAGAATAAACGCAATAGAATTGGTTCTTCTATCTTGTCCAAGTAGCTTCAGGAATGCACACTTGAATTTCACATAAATTGCTTGCAAAATTGCCTAGCTATTTTGCTCTCAATTTAGTTTTTACTTCTGCATTTGTGCAACACCTGTAAAAGAGAACAATCATTGTTATTTAATGAGTTAGTAATCAGAGTTTGATTGAGACTCAATTGCTGATCCTTTGTCGAATTTGAGTCCTACAACAATACAAACTCCAACCCTTATCCTTGATCTGGATTAAGTTCTCTTCACATTAGGAGACTTCATCTCCTTATCCTTTATGCAACCTTTTCGAT